TTCTCTCCCTCTCCTCTCCCTCCTGTCTCCCTCCCTCTCTCCCTGTCCTCTCCCTCCTCTCTCCCTCTTCTCTCCCTCTCCTCTCCCTCCTCTCTCCCTTCCCTCCCTCTCTCCCTCTCCTCCCCTCTTCTCTCCCTCCTCTTTCTTTCCTCTCTCCCTCCTCTGTCCCTCTGTTCCTCCTCTCTCCCTCTCTCCCTCCACTCTGCCATCCCCTCTCCCTCCACACTCTACCCTAACTTCCCCATCCACCTCTCTCTTCTCAGCAGGACGTGGGAGCGACCACTGCGTCCAGTCTCCAGAGAAGTCATTGTCCGCTGGTTTAAGGAGGAGCAGCTGCCTCGCCGGGCTGGCTTCGAGAGGAACACCAAATCCATCGCCCCCTGGTTCCATGGTAGGACTTCTCTGTGGGCCCCAGGGCACAGCTGTCCGTATATCTGCCTCCTTCACATGCACAGCAGTCTTGGAGGACACTGTAACCAGGGATAAGAACTCCAGACTCCCCTGCCTCTCTTTTGCCCCCTATAATTCCAGGAGTCCTTGAGCTCGGGGCATCCTTGGCTCCCTCTGTCTGCTGGGAAGGGGGTGAACAGGAGTCCTGTCCACTGCTAAGGACACATGACCCCAAGGCCAGCAGGGCTCCTCTGTGTCATCTTCCCTGTATTCATAGCACAGTGAGCTCTCAGTGGTCCAAGATCTGGGTCCCTGGGTCCTGGAGGTGCCCGGCACAGGCAGTCTCTGGACAAATCCTTGCTGACTACATGGCACATGGCTGGATAAAGAGGTTGCAGGCATCCAAACAGAGCCTTAGAGGCTGGAGGCTCCATGCAAGTCTTTCAATTCCCTCATTACAGATAAGAACCTGAGGCTTAAAGAAGGGAGGAAGTTTTAATAGGTGCCAGGAAACTGGTAAAATCAAGTTCAAGAATGCATCTTGAGGACCATGACCCCCATCCAGTGATCTGAATATGCAGTAGTCCCAGGCAGGGAAACAGGGCTGTGACTTCATCTTAGACTTGCTACAGGGAACTGGGAATGGTCACTGGCTATCGGTTCCCTCTGTACGGTTAGCTAATGCTGCCTGACAAGTCACCTCCAAACTCAGTAGCATAAAGTAAGTAAGCAGTTATTATGTATTCATGAATTTCTGAATCAACTGGGGTGTTCGTCTAGCATGCCTTAGCCTCAGACGATCACTCTGAGCTTGCTCATGTGTCTCTGGGCAGCTGGCAGGTCAGTCAGAATACTCTCAGCTGGGACAGCTCCTCTTTACTCTGTGTGCTGCTCGTTCTGCTGCAGCCTGGCCCAGGCCCTCAGGTTCCTCTGCAGGAGCTGAACATATGCTTTGCTCCCTGAGCCTCTCCCCAACCAGCTCAGATCTGCCTGCAGTGTCCCCAGTCAGAACCGATCTCCCCTGCATGGTTACCACCCTGCTGACCCACACCTGGCTCTGCTTGCCTTCCACTTGCTTCTGGGAGCTTGACCAGCCTTCACACTGGCCTGTAGTCCCCGCCCTCTGGTATCTCCAGGGCCTACAGGCAACTGGCAGAGGCAGCCTCCAGTGTAAGCTCTGGGCGTGGTCTGTCTCCATGAGAAGCAGCTGTGGCACTGAGAGGTCATGCAGAGTGGGCAAGTCCATCTATACCCTCATGCCCTTCATCCCTGGAGCTGGGCAGCTTGTGCAGGCAGCAGGCTCACTCTGCAGGCCAGCCATGGAGGTGTGGCACTGTAAAGGGTAACTAAGGGTCACACAGGTGGCAGCACCAGCAGTCCAGGCTGTAGGAGAGTCCTCTGGAGTCTGTGCCTTCTACTGTCCAGTTCACCTTCCACCCACCACCCTGAGAATCCTTTCAATATACCCAAGTCCCAGTGCTGTCCTACTCAGTGTCCTATGCTCCTCACCCCTGCAGTGAACTCTGAATGCCCCAGGGGACTGGGCTGCTCCCGCCCAGCCTCGTGCCGAACTGCTCCTGGCCCATCTTGCCGTCAGTGTGCTGGCCTCTTCCATCCTTCAGACGAGCTTTCCTCCTCTCCACCTCAGGCCCTTTGTCCTTGCTCTTGCTCTGCTCACTTTTGCTGTCTTTCCACAGCTCTGTGCTGACACATTCTTGTTTTCATCCGAAACAGCCTCTCTTCTGAGAGGCCTTTCCTGAGCTCCTTCCTACAGCACTTTTCCTCAGTTTCTCTCAGTTCACCCTGTCTGAGAGTGCTTGCTGCAGCGGGGTTCATCGCAACCATTGTCTCAGCTGCGTGTTAGCCCCTGAGGCCGAGGACCTGTCAGTGTCCCTAGGTATCCATGGGAGGAATGGCAGAGGAGCAGATGAAGGGTCAGAACTGGGATTAGATCCAGGCTTTTGAGTCTGAAGAAACATCCTTTGCTTTTCTGCTGTGGGTTCTGGGAGGTGTGAGTCCCGTCAGCAGCTGAGAAGGATCAGAAAACCAGGATCACACTAGAGAGGCTTGGATTTGCCTTCCCAGTTGGCCATGTGCTCAGTGCGGCCAAGGCCACCTCTGTGCCCACCCTGCCTCCCACCAGCCTGGGCCAGGGGCAGCGGCACATCCAAGACAAGGTCACTGTCTCCATCTGTTGTCGCTTTTGAGCTTCCCACTCCATGAACAGAATCCCCCTGGGGCAGGTCACTGTGTAGCTAGGCTTCGTTTTACCTTTGTAACGTTTGTGCCCAAAAGGTCAATGACCCCAACTTCTCATGCATAGCTCAGGCCCACCAGGAGTTGGCTGAAGCATTGAGTGAGGGCCTCAGACCGGGGAACTGCCTCCCCTGGAAACTCTGAAGGCCTCATGAAAGAGAGAAAAGAAAGACTTGGCCACACAGTGGCCCGAAGCCTCTGCACAGTTGCACAATTTCCCCAGGCACAGCCAGGCTGGCACCTAGGACATGCTGGGTAGTTTCACATGATAAGAGACTGTCACAGTCACCGTTCCTATTCAGACCTCTTCCTTCTCCGTAAGCCTGAGAGGCTCCCACGGCTCAGAGCATGGTCCACATTCATGGGTGCCTGAACCCAGGTTCCTAGAACTGGCCTGGTATTCTTTGCCCCTCACTTCTGTCACGCTGTGTGTCCCCGTATCCTGGTGGAGCTTCCACTGGAATCGCTGCCTCCCCCTTTGTACCTCATTGTCATCATGGAGACAATCACGACACAGGGTACAGCTCAAGTGTCCAGTGAGGGGGGTCTGCAGCTGTGCCGCAGGCTCAGCGGGGCTGTGGCAGCCCACAGGGAAGGTGCAACAGAGGTGCTCAAATTTGCCTTTAGTTTTATTTTCTACCTTGATAGTAGAAAAAGTAACTTTTGTGTTGTCACAGAACAAACAGAAGCAAAATTTAAGTCTCACGATTTATGTAACCGATTGCATGTTCTCCTGACAGCTCTACCATAAAGTGCTCAGGAAAGTTGCTAATACATCTAGCAGAGCTGCCACATGACCAAGTTCTCATCACTCCATGGCAGAATGAAAGAAGGCTCATGTCTGGAGAATGGCCGAGTGTCTTTGCTTGGAAAGGACTGTGCTGTGTTTTAAGATTATAGCTTCAGTTTTAGGAAGAAAATGTCTTATCTTTTATGAGATGATGGTGATGGTACATAGTAGTTATTTTTATGTACTGTCTTTGCTTAGAAAAAGAAAATGTTAGCAGCCTTATGTTGACTCCCAAGACTTTTATTTTTAATAATTCGGAACAATGGGTATACTCTAACTTTCTGTCCAGTGTAAGAATTCCCTGATGGAGGAGGCAGGACCCCATTCCAATCCTTACAGTGACAGGAAGCTCATCACCCCTCAGGAACCTTGCACCAGTCTAATTGCTAAGGGTTTCTGCTGCTGGTTGGCAGGGGCTCTGCTCTCTTTATTGGGTGTGCTGGGCTTCTTAGAAGGGGAGGGCTGCTCTGCTCCCCTCCCCTGCTCCTTCTGGGGCCGTCTGAGTAGCTCAGGCCTGCGCTTCTCATGGCGGCAGTACAGGCTCCAGGGAGCTGTTGGCAGAGGGTGTAGCTCCAGATGTCCACTCTCAGCACCAGCTCGCTGCCGCCCCACCTCATGCATCTCAGAGTTGAGGGATGGACAGTATATTCTGTTATTCTCTTGAGAGGAACTTTAAAACCATGTGTCAAAGGCACGGAGACAGGGAGGGAAGAAGAATTCGAGCTAGCAGTGCATTCCGTCATGATCCTAATACAGACCTTTCCTTTCCCAGGTAAAACATTCCTGATTAATTTAGCTGGATTTTAGGAGCAAGTTAAAAATGACTGTGAGTCCTGGTTCCTTTGCTTTTCTCATTTGGACATGCTGTGGGGTAAACCAAATAGTCACATGCTCAAGGGCTCTGAAGATGGGGGAGCCCATCTTCTTGCTGGCCTTGGGTGAGTCCTTTAATTCCCTGTCTGTGAAAATGGCATTATTACATCAGCCTCACAAGATACTTAAGAAAATTAAGTCAACAAAAATATTTTCTTGCCCACAAGGGCTAGGTCGATGGGAATGCTGATGTCCCTGGAGTCTGGGATTGGTCGCCAGATTCTCACTTCCTTTGGGAAACAGGGTTTCGAGAAGTGGGGTCAGGACACAAAAGAGGAGGAGACTGGCTTCCCTTGGGAATCGCAGGGCTCTGATAATTTTTTTTGGTCTTTTTTTAAAAAAAGCAGTCAGTGCACAAGTAATTCCTTGCTTCTCCTTTGCTCATTGTTATCTTCTAAGAGTTCGAAGAGAGACTTCCAGTTATATAGAAGCATTCCTGAGAAATGACAGTGCGTATAACCTTGGTTTTGGGGAAAAATTCTTATCTTTAGGCTCTGACATACATGTCCTTTGTATGGACATTGGCTCATTCAGGCTTATTTCTCTTCCTGAGCTTTACTGCTAGAAAAGAGTTGCAGAATGGCCCTTGGTTTATTGGCTTGGCAAAGCCCCCTGGCTGGCTCACTGCCTGCCTCTAGGGGTTGGCACAGAGTGGAATTGTGTGGTAGACGATGCAGTCGGCATTGGTAGATGATGCCTGTGGGATTCTGCTCAGGTACAGGGATGGTCTCACCTGGGCTCCAGGGTGTTAAGCTGGACTCAAGGGAGATATCGGCTTAACACATCTGCTGACAAGCACAAAGAGTGGGGCATCCACCAGAGCGGAGGCGCTCTCCATTTAGATAGTGCAGTCTGTGGCAGCCCAGCACTTGGGGGCAGGTGGAGCTTCCTGTGCAAAGTAAGAGCTCAAAGTGGGTTGAGCTCCTCACACTGGGACTTCCGAGCATATTTGGAGAGGAACAGTGCAGGTCACAGGCTGCTGGTTCTAGAATGAACCCAGGTCCTCAGACCCTTGAGGACATTGCTGTTTGGATGACACCACGGCACATTCAACATTGTTTGAGGGAAGGGAAAAGAGTAGA